TGGATCAAAGACCTAAATGTAAAATGTAGAACTATAAAAATTGTCAAGGAAAGAATAGAAACAAATTGAGGACTATGTTAGTTTAAGTCTTATGTCAACTTGGGTGGGCTACAATTCCCCGATGATATTATTTAACATAGTGTGGTCAACTTTATGATGGGATCTTCTGTGAAGCAGTTTTGGGGAAAACAGATCTCTTTAATCTGGTCACAGAGTTGATACGATTGAAGGAGGTCTCATTCAAGGTGTGTCCTATGCTTAGTACAAAGTGATAGTGTAGGAAAAGTAGCTGACATCTACTGCTCAAGTTCAATACTTCATCTGGTTTGTAGACCTTCTGTTATATCGCCTGCCAATCCCAGGAGCCCTCAGCAGACTGCAGATGGTGGATTCATTCTGCTGATCTCAGATTCATTCAGCTAAGTATGCACCAGTCTTCCTGCTTCATTTTCCTGTTTTCTGTTTGCCAGCCCCTGCATCTACAAGAGTCGGGAGAAGCCTCTGACTCACAGACTTGAACCCAACTGGACGTACCCACTTCTATAACCATGTGAGCCATTTGTTGATATAAATCTCTTTTTATATACATATACATACTGGTTTTGCATCACTGGTTTTGCTTCTCTAGAGAACCATGCCTAATACATAGCATAAATACACTACTAAACATAACTGAAAACACTCAGACAGTAAAAGACAAACTAGATGACTGGGACTTCCTAAAAATTAGACACGTATGTATATCAAAAGACTTAACCCAAAGAGTAAAAATAGAAGCCACAGGATGGTGGGAATAACATATGAAAACAATATATCAGCAAATGATAGATAATACAACTTAAAAAATGAAAAAAACATAAGAGTCAACACTCATCAAAGACATTCAGGAAACCAACAACTACACAAAGAAATGCCTTATTATTGTTGTTGTTGAGTGCTGTCAAATCTGTTCCAATTCATACTGAGACATAGAACAGAACAAAGCACTACCCAGTCCTGTCCCATTCTCAGAATTGTTATGTTTGAGTCTATTGTTGCAGCTACTGTGTTAATCCATCTCATTGATCATCTTCTTCTCTGTCATTGACTTCCTAGTTTATCAAGCATGATGTCTTTTTATATATATTGAGCACATAGGGTGCAGGATATGAAAACTTCTTAGATATAATCAAGCACCTTGAGGGAACAAGTCACTGCACCTGGGGAATCAGGACCATAGTCTCACGGAAAACTAAGGTCAGTGGGCATAACAGTCAACAAAGATAAATTCTACATCCTACTTTGGTGAATAGTGCTCGTTCTTAACAATTTTATGAGCAGACATCTAAGGTGCAACTATTATTTTCCCTCTGTTTGGAGCAAAGTAGAATGAAGTTACATCAGCCTCCACCACCCTGAGACTAGATGAACTGGATGGTACCTGGCTACTACTACTAACTACTCTGACAGGGATCACATTAGAATATCCTGGATAGAATGGAAGAATAATATAAAACAAAATAATAAAAATACCAGGTTTACTGGTTGGATATGGATTGGATAACCCCTGAGATTATGATCCTTAGTCACTTTTCATGTCTAAAAGTAAACTTAACCAAATAGACAAGTCTATAAGGGGAATAATAGCAGCGGGGAGGCAAGCACTCCTCAGAATAATCAACCTCTTGAGATCAAAAGGGTAGCATTTGCCCAAGGACAAAGTTCAGAAAGGTTAGGAAACAACGAGCAATGGAAACAGAGAATATGCAGGATACATGATGTTACGTTGTGTAGATTATAATCAATGATATGAAACAAAATGTGTATGAATTACTGAATGGAAAATGGATTTGCACTGTAAATCTTCACCCAATTCACAATGAAAAGTTTGTCTTTCTTTTAAGTAACCTTAATCTTTATTTCTTTCATTTAACAATCATATTGTGATTATTAATGTACAGAGCAATATGATGTAACTAGTCATTAGGACCCTCTGCAACAAGTATCTAGATAAGACTACAGGAACTCAGCTACTCTGCCAAAGGACATGGTTATATTCCATAAGGTCTGATATAACTCTCTCGCTTGTTATCAAAACTGGAAAGGCTATAAGCACCTTGTCCCTGAAGAATTTTGGTGATCTCTGTGCTATGTATCCTATGTATCTCTGTGCTATGTGCCCTTTTGTATCCTTTTAATTTTATTTTTTAATTAAGGGATCGTACATACATCTACAGTGATTTCTAGGTTTCTTTATTAAGCTGCAACTGAGAACCCCTAATCTCATAACTTCAGATATGTTTAGTTTTGCAGTTCATCTCTTAAGAATTGATATGTTTACCTTTGCCTACCTGTATGGCCTACATATGTTCACAACGAAGTGCCTCTGGCTGTTCTCTCCTGATACCTTCCTGCAGTTTATTCTGAAGAACTTGCCTTCACTCCTTGCAGATGAACTGGTAAGTACTTCTCGCCAGTACTGCATATTAAAAGTTGCATTTTTTGCTTTTCTTCCTTTCCACCCAAGAGTTATTGTAACGGCAGCTGTTTATGTTGAAAAACTAAAACATAAACATATGACCTATATGGCCAAATTCCACAAAGCGGTCAACTTCCTTATTTATTAATCAAAATATCTCTGTCAGCACAACTGTAATAGAATCTTGACTATCAGCAGATACTTTAATTAAGTGTCCCTGCAAAGCCAGCAGAGGGTGCACCATGGCTCTAGAAAGTTTACCCAAGATACAGCAATATCAATTTTACTCAAATAGCTAATATTTTTTATTCTATTTTTCTTTTTGTAAACTAAAGCTAACAACCTCAAAATGAACTTAAGTTGAATCTGTGTTGAAATTCCTTGAAAGGTATTTTCATTTTCCTGAAATTAAAGGGAAAAATGAGGAATATATGGTTAAATTTAGTTTGGTTCAAATGTAGGTAGAGTAGGAAAAATGGTGCAGATCTGAGCCCTACTTGGTAAAACATCTAAGAAACTCTAAGCCCTATATCAAAAAGAGTCTCTGGGAAATAGGATGCTATATGGGGGATGCACATTGAACTGGGAATCAGGAGACTAACTTTCATGCTAGTTTTTACCTTAGTTGGGTGACTTTGAGCAAACCATTCCTCCCACTCGCACTCCAAGGCCTACCCCTTCCTCCAAGAGGAAAAAACAAAATGAATTCATAGAGCACCACATAACTCAATAAAAACCCCAAAATAGCAACACAAACAATGGACTCAAACTGATAGCAACAAATGTAAAGAGTCAGTGTGCTTGCATCTACTGATTAAACTCATTAAAATAGAAAGAACAAATACAGAAGACAGGAATTTGTGTTTAAACTTGAGAAAACAATTTGAAGTACCATACAAAAGGCAGGTAACAAACTCCCATTACAGAACTGTCATAGTCCCATGCCATCACAGAAGCCCTAAAGTGCACCTATTCTGTTAATCCTCAGTCTTTAAAGATGGGTGTCTCCATTCTGAATGCCAAAAAGGCTTAGTCAATGCCATTTGACTAAGGAAGTTGAATTCCTTCATCTTTCCACAGAATGTAAATGCTCAGCTGTTAAACGTTTCTGCTGGGCATGGGGGTGGGGGTAGGGGGGAGATAAAGGAGCCAGAATTCTAGTTAATTATCATTTAGCCACAGTGTTTAAAGTTTCAAGTATAAGAAGCATGTCTGCTGATTCTCTTTTTTGATAAGCTGTTATATAAGTTGGAGTGTGTGATCAAGTCATTTTAAAGCTCCGGGCAACTTCACAATGTGCATGTAAAAAATGTGTCAGTTTTAACATTATAGTATTATGACTATGATGCTTCCATTGAGTTCAACTTGGTGGTTAAATTAGCACAAAGCTATTTCCAGAACATAAAAATTATTTGGATATGAAAATAAATATTGAAGAGCTGGATCCTAAACCTCAAGAAACTTATTTATACAGCTTGTCTTTTTCCTAAGAAATACAAATTCATTATTGTTTAATAACTTCAACAAGATTTTTGAATGGATGCTTTCTGTAAGTTTCACATATAAGACAGAACATGGCAGTCATGAAAATTCTTACTTTCAATGCCCTAAATTTACTTGAAGAAAGCTAGAAAAATGAGATAACAAACCCCAAAGTAATAAGGGCAGAAACATCATAAAGGTCGAAAAACAAAGTGCTTTTGAGAAACTGTTGGGTGTGTGTGTGTGGAGTTCATTAAGACTGTACTTCTGAGAAATTACTCCATCAATGAATTCCTGTTCTCAAGCTACCAAGAGTAAAGGCACTTCACAGGCACCCTCCCCATTCCACCCCCCCTCCCCAAATAACTAGAACCAACATGCAAAGGATGAATTTTACTTCCATTGATTTTTTTAAATTGCTGCTCAAAAGTAGTCTAGCAAGACAGCATATTTCTACCAGAATTCCTCAGGGGCGCTGTTCCTCACTAGAACATTGAGGACAATCAGTCTCGTATCGCAGGTAAGTGTGAATGAGACCATGCCTGGTCAGCACTCAAGGAACCTGAGCCCATGTTAATAATAAGGTGAACTGTGGTTTCAACAAACGGACACGGAGTGTTTATTACAGCTGTTTACAGTTCCAGTTCTAAAGGAGAGTCAGCTAGTGCTGGCATTAACCCTGGCCTGAAGAAACACGCACTGTGGGTAGAAAGAACCTCATCAGACCAGAGGGCCAAGCTACTTACAGTTAATCCACCAGAGAGGCAGCGCAGGCACCACCTCTCCACCGGCTGGGCCAAGTGTTGCTAACTTTCCCATGGTACTCCATAGCTGGGGGTGGAGGAGACAAGCACTGGCCAGAGTTGCCATTTCAACGGGTCCAGGGAGAGTCAGAGTGACCTGAGCCAGGGACCTAGCACAACCTGCCAAGGGGCAACCCCAAGTCCTGCCCACTAACTTAGCTGGAGGTGGCAGAGTTCTCTCAGGGCCCTGTGCTGGAGGGCCCCCGCCCTACACACAAGGGAAGGGGGCCTCTGCCACCACCTACCAGATGACTCACCTGGTGCCCGTCCTGAGTGTCGAGGGGGAGTGTGGGTTCTCCAGGTTCCACAGGCTGCTGCTGAAAAGAAGGCTTCCCAAGGTGGTGAGTGATGGGAACTTCAGAGTCGAGGCCACTGGGGCTGCTCAGAGTGCCAGAGGTGCCAACAGTGCGGGGGCCGCCAAGGCTGGACTCGGCTCCCCGTTCCCGCCGCAACTCAGAGCGCAACTCTAGGTAGCAGCACAGCGTCAGCAGGTGGAGGGCCAGCGAGAAACCAAAAAACCCCAGGAAGAGCCGGCAGCTGTTCCCTTCGCCTGCCCGGGCAGGGGCCCCGCGACAGCCGCAGCCTTGGCTTCCCTGCTCGCGCGGCAGTTCCCTGTGTTCTACCTCTGGGTAGCCCATGGCCTTCGGAGACACAAACTCTGAGGCCCGGGAGCCGTCCGTCTGCCTCCGCCGTTCAGGACCCCTGACAGGCGGCTACTGTCCTGCCATCGGCTGGGGACTGCAGGGACCCGTTCCTGTGCGATGGTGGCTGGGCGGGACAGAGCAAGGAGCAGCCGCATGTGCAGCTCCACTTCTAGGGGTGGGAAGAGAGGAGGAGGGGCGGGCGAGAGGGGCGGCTCAGCCCGCCGATGGAGTGAGGGAGGAGGCCCTGGCCCGATCCCGCCCCTTCTCTCCAGAGACGGCCGCGACGCCCAGCTCTCGCCCGCCAAGTCTCAGTGCCCCGCCCCCTGCCTTTCCACCCGCGCTTCAAACCGCGGGGCGGGACCTGAAGGCGGGTGGGTTCGTCTCTGTCTGGCAACCCCACCCAGCTCTTCCCGCGTTCCGGGTACCAGTAGGTGACTGCCGCTGTCGTTCATCCTTGGACTCCACCCCTATTTAACCATTTAGCGCCAGTATGAGGGAAATGGAAAGAGAAGGAGGCTGAGAAAAAATTGGGAACGTTGGGGTGGGGGGGGGCATAGAGCAAAGAATAGGAGGCAGAAACTATTATTAATAGAAATGCTAGCAATTAACTTCACTTGTTATTAACATCATTCAGCATTTATCTACTACTTTTAAACTTCAAAGAGTTTAACAGACGTTAAACTAATTAAAACAGTTCTGGGTTTGGAATGAAACCATGCCTGCTATGTTTGTAATCCAACAGCATGCCAGAAAAAAAGAAGACCTAGGAGCCTGGGAGCCAAAGGAGTGTGACTCATGCAGTCTCTCTCCTGGACTCAGTCCGGAGGCTCAGTCTAAGTGAGGAAGAAGCAGACCTCTGCCAGGCAGGACTAAATGATGTTACTCCCTGAAGGTTAAACAAATTCCCTAGGATTCTTACATATTAATTCAGCAAATATGTATTGATCCTTTTACAATGTAGAAAGAGCTATGTAAGAGAATTCACAAACGGAGTCGTTTCTCTTCTTCCCTTGCAGCAGACATTTCAGTGGAGAACACGCGGCTTCCATGAGCAAAGTGGGAAATTGAGATCCAAAATGAGGTTAGTTTTTATGAGTGGCCCAAATAATGCCAGACACTATTGCCATTTCTATTCTCAGGCCTCTCCACCCCTCCTTTCCTTCCCCTGAAGTTGTTCTAAGGGAAGTTCAACAAGTCAGCCAAATGTTCCAGATGTACTTGCTGCAATTGCCGTATCTTTAACAGCTGTATCAATCAGAAAATGATTCAGAGCAACAACAAAAAGTGGCAATAGATCAGAACAATAGATTCTGGTACCAAGGTTGTAAATGATTAGTTCAATCAAAAGTTACAATTAACAAGGATTAGCCTGAGATTATAGAGTGAAGTGACTATAGCAGGGGAAAATGTATGTTTCTCAGTCAACGTGCACTCTCATTCCCATGTTATTACCTGAGATGGCGACATTAACTGTGATGGAGACTTTGGTACCATCAATAAGGTTCAGCAATGCCCAGGAGTACTTATAGAAGTAAAATAGAAAAGAAGGAAACAAAACCAAAAGAATCTGGTGAGAGGTCAGCTTGGAGAGCAGAGCGACCATAGGTCTTAAATATATTAGTCTAAGCCAATTTATCTTCCACACACTTTGTGAATGGTTCATAGCTTCCATAACTTCTTTGTGTCCTCTCATTTATCCTAACCCATGAAATACAATGTTTTCATGAATACAATCATTATACAGATGGGGAGGTGAGGGTGAGGAGAAGGCTTGTCCAGGCCAGGAACTCCAGCTGCCAGGGAAATTGCCAGATTGCTTTACCTTAATTATCACAACCCAGGATTATTGTAAAGAATGCTAGACTAGGAGTCAGGACACCTGTCTTGCCACTAATTTGCAAATTACAGCTTTTTTTAAGGAGCCTTGTTGGCGTAGTGAGTTATACATTGGGCTGCTAACTTCCAGGTCAGCAGTTTGAACCCACCAGTTCCTCCACAGAGAAAGATGAGGTTTGCTGTTTCTATAAAGGTTTACAGTCTCGGACATCCAAAAGGTGCTCTGTCCTATACAGCCACTTTGAGTCAGAATCAACTGAATGGCAGTTAATTTGGTTGTGATTTGGAGGGGGCGGGGTAGAGCTTAGTTTCTTCAATTGTAAACTTAAGATTTTGAACTTTAATGGCTATTAATTATATCACATTTTATTTGTGCTATCACTCACTATAAAGGAGCCCGCGTGGCTCTGTGAGTTAGGCATTTGGCTACTAAATATAAAGTCAGCAATTCAAATCTACTGTACACTTTTCAGGAGAAAGATGAAGTTGTCTGTTCTCACAGAGATTTACAGTCTCAGAAATCCTATGTAGCATCACTGTGGATCAGAAATGACTAAATGGAACTGTTTTTAATTATTATTTTAATTTATTATTAATTGGGAGTTAATACATATGTCATATCATTCCATAATTCAATCACATCAAGCAGTATAGTACAATTGCTACCACAATTAGTTTTTAAACATTCTTCTTCTTCCTGGAGTCCTTGACACTGTCTCCCTTTTACACACACACACACACACACCACCACTGTACTGTCTCCAACCCCCAAAACCCTTATTCTACTTGCTGTCCCCATAAGTTCATCAATCCTGGGTTTCATACACTGAAAAAGAGAAAAACATATAACCCAACTTCAAGAGGATGACTCCCAATGGCATAACATTGACTTGGTTGCATACACCGTTCAAAGAGGCTGTCCCTTTTCCCCCTAAAGGAAAAAGGAACAAATAAAACCATCTTTAGTGGTGGTGTGGTGAAGTGAAATTCCATAATATGGCTCTTCTACTGAAGTCTCTGTAACTCCCACCAAATGATTGCGGGGGTAGGGGTGGGGGCATGCAAACAGGGCATGCATGGGTACCACTAATAGAGGGTATTGGTCATCTTTAATTACCAGAACCACCATCCCCAGGCTGTAAGGATGAGCCATCTTGGAAGATACAAGAAATAAACACTGAAGACCTTGGAGGAGCACGTTCAAGATCTCTGTCTGAAGTGGCAGAATAAGCTGAAACCAGATGCATCACAGACTGTGGCATGGAGACTCCAAGGAGGAGCAGTGAGACTAAGGGGTACCTTTTCCTTATCTGATCAGAGACTATGGAACTGTCGGAAAGAGTGGCAGGTGGGCTGGCTTCCTGGCACATGGAGGCTAAGGCCAAAGAATCATGTGGCTGAGAGACTAAGAACCCAAGAAAGACTTGGTTGCTGGCTAAGGAGACCAATGACTAAATCCTTACTGTTTGCTGATCCTGATTTTGGGAACCCATTAACTTCCATAATAAACGTCCTTAATTGTTAGTATTGTCTATGAGTTTTGTGTGGCCATTGCAATGAATTTTCAAAATTAGATAGAGGTAGAGTGTCATGGGAGGTATGACTGGTGTTAGAATAAGTAAAAAAGGATGGACCATAGAGATTTGCATGACCCTTGCCTCGTGGCAATATGGAAGGCAGAGGAGGTCAGATATGGCCCCCTCATTGCCATTTACCACAGGTACTCAAGTTCCAGACTCATCTCAACTTACCTGGTTTTTAGCAGCTTCACTGAGATCCTGAATTATAACATTTGTCTCATAAGGCAACAGGCTACATTTGCTCAACTCAACAGCCCAACCAGAGAAAGAACATATGGTTTTATATGCAATAAAATTGTTGGTCTAGGGCAACCAAGTGAGGTGTATACATAGCATTTTAAAATATTCTGTCAGTTAGCGTTTATGCTCCCACAAGTATCCTATTCCCTATAGCACTGATCCCTAAACAAGAGCCCGTAGCCTACATTCAACAGACAATTGTGTTGTGCTTGATGCAGTGTTAGTTAAAACTTTGAATTTAAAAAATTAAACAGGATTTCACATTTTAAAAAGCCCATTTTCCTTTTTTCTCTGTTTTTAAAAATTGAAGGGCCCACATTCCCATGTAACAACAGTCAACTAAAACTGACCCCCTTAATACAAACATAAATTAAAAACAAACAAACAAAAAACCCTCACTGCCATTGAGTTGATTTAGACTCATAGTGATCCTATAGGACAGTGTAGACCAGCCCTTATGGGTTTCCAAGCCTATAACTTTTTATGAGAACAGAAAGCCTCACCGTTCTCCAACAGAGTGACTGGTAATTTTGAACTGCTGACCTTGTGGTTAGCAGCCCAAGTTTTAAGCACTACACCACCAAGGTAATATAACACAGGCACTCATATTCCACACAGTCACCGACTGCCCCCGCTTCCTCAATACTGTCCTTGTCTCTTATTTATATTATGTATTTGACCTGCGTACTGCAGGACACAAAATATCAACTCCTTAGTATAATATTAGAAAGTCCTTCATAATCTACTCTCAAACTGCCTATCCAACCTCATCTTCATCCATTCTACAAGGAACCAATGCCCCCACCATACCAAATAAGTTGATTACTTGTCACAGTTGTGAAAACTTTTCACAGTTCACAATCTTTTTTTCTTCATTATGTAGGATCCCAGCTTGGAAACCTAGTATGTTCATCAAGGATTAATTCACATGTTCCTTCTTGTATGACTCCACAGTCCACTCCAGACAGATATTTCTTACTGCCTTCATTGCTCTCAGATCATAGCTCAATGATATCACTTACCAGATTATATTTTTAATTATTTTACATGGTTGTATTACCACTAAATTGTCAGCATCTTATGGGTAAGAATTATGTCCTTTTTATGTTGATATCACATAATACAAACTCAAAACCAAACTCATAGCCATCAAGTTGATTCCAACTCATAGTGACCCTATAAGTCAGGGTAGAACTGCCCTAGTGAGTTTTTGAGACTGTAACTTTATGGGAGTAGAAAGTCCCATCTTTCTCTCTTGAAACAGCTGGTGGTTTCAAACTACTGACCTTGCAGTTTATAGCTCAACAATGTAACCACGAGGCAACCAGTTACATAATA